TATAGGGTATACTTGGAGGTTCATGGGTAGTTTTAAATGGTGTTATAAGTCCCCTAGTATGGGCTATAACTACAGTTACCCTACTTATAACCCCACTTAAAACTACCCTAAACCCTACAGAACCCTTGAAGGAACCCTATAACACCACTTATAACTACCCATGAACATCAAAAAGTGGGACATTCAGATGGGTTCAGAACTTCTGAATTTGGGGTAATATATAGCCTTCCGGGATTCGACAGTCTTGGCTTGAGGCTTTAAGCTTCAGGCTTCTAGAGTTCAGGGTTCAGGGTATAGGGTTTCGGGATTTAGGGGTGTGGGGGTTTATCTGTTTGGGGGTGTAGGGGTTTAGGGGTTTAGGGGTTAGGGATCAGGGATTAGGGTATAGGGTTTAGGTTAACAGAGGGTTCAGAGCAAGTCTCCGAACAAAGGCGCAGGCGTCGGGATGCACGCACGCAGGAGCCATGCTTATGCCCAAACTTCAGAATTAGGGTTTAGGGTTTAGGGTTTTACAGAAGAAACTGTAAGCTCCCGGCTAATCTTGGTTGGTGGCCCATCTTTCTAGCATGTTGAACATGACCAACTGTGCTTCATGCACTCTAACGAGCTGTCCCTCTCTGCGAGGGTATCGTGGATCGCAATCCCAAAGGGTCCTAAGTACCGATATGGTAGAATGTAGGGTTTCTACATTAAGAATTCTTACTATGATTTGAGGAAGTATTCCCCATAACAGTACCTAGGACCCTTTGGGAATCTGCAGCTGCAACCTGCAGGCCCAAAACACCGTTTAAGCCTAAGCGTGCGTCCGAGTTGCACTTTTGCCGAATGGGCGCGTGGCGGCCCCCGTGGGCCCCTTTTGCCCTTTTAACCCCATTAGGCCCCAACACGCTCATTCGGCAAAAGTGCAACCCTACACCCCTCCACCCTAAACCCCTACACCCCATACCCTGGAACCCTCAAAGCTCTGAGTGCAACCCGAAGTCTTACAGGCTGCTATATAGGGCTTAGAAGGTTTAGAGTTTAGGGTTTAGGAGTTTAGGGCTTAAAGTTTAAGGCTTAGGGTTAAGGGTTTAGCATTTAGAATTCAGGGTTTCGGGTTTATGGGTTTGGGGCTTCGGTTTATCGAGAAGTGGCGATGTTGATCATGGGCAGTACAATGATCAAGAATATCATCCTGTCTAGGGGCCCGAAACCCTAAACCCTAAACCCTAAACCCTGAACCCTAAAACCCTAAACCCTAAACCCTGAACCCTGAACCCTAAACCAAACCCGATGGCCTTCAAGAGACTTGGGGAAGGAGTGGTGGATGACAAACCGGACCTCGGGTTCCGACTCTGTGGGTTTACGGGGTTTAGGGTGCAGGGTTTAACTCCAAATCGTACTAGGCAAGCCTGACTAATAGAAGCCTAGATAATTACCTATATTACTCATGAGGGTTCCTTACTACAGTTATAGTTATAGTAGAGTGGGCCCCCAAAACTTATCCTAATCATGAAGACCCCTACATTAACCACCAATGGCACTCTATAGGGGTCCCACTACACAGAAGAAGCCAAAAAGTTGGAAGCCCTATAGCCTCAATCCCTAAGAGTAATGTATAGGAGTATAGGGCATCCCAGCACTATATGTCCTTAATCCGGTTTCCGCCTTTTGGGGTTTAATATATAGACATAGAATAAGATCACCCAAAGCCACTGGTCTAGCTGTCAGGGCCCTTGTCTAAGACGGTTTTGCAGGATTCAATGTTCATTTGGGGGTTTCCAAAAATAGGGGACCCTAATATAGTAGCCTAGATAATAGGCTCCTTATAATAAGGACCCCCAAGATAATGTACCCCAATTTTCGGAAAGTTCCATTTCTGCAGAGATGAATGTTCTTTGGCTTCAAGAGAGAGTGTTGGGAGAGCCGGCCCTTCTTGCCCTTCTTGCGGGTTCCTTGCGGTTTAGGGTCTAGGCTTTTGAGGCTAGGATCCCAAACCCGAATTTCCAAAGCCCCAAAGCCCCAAACCCTAAACCCTAAATCCCTAAACCCCAAAACCTTGGACCCTAACCCCTAAACCCTGAACCCACTTAAGAGTCTAGGGCCTTGGATTCTCACGGTTTGGGATTTAGGGCGTATACGGCTGCAGGAAGTCACAGCTCCGGCTTTTCATGGAAGATCTCGGTCCCTGGGTTTGCAGATTTGGGTTTAGGGTTTAGGGTTTAGGGTTTAGGGCTTAGGTTGGGTTTTGCAGGGTCCAGGGGGCAGCACTTCTGAGATCCTTGGGGTCGAACCCCTGTGCATTCTGGATTTGGGTGTAGATTGATTTCTGACCCTTGGAAAACTATTGAAAGCCCGAGTGAACAGAATTATGAAAACACAACCGTTAGAATGATGACCGAACTAACCCGCAAACACTATAACTCCTAAACTCGTTTTATGGAGCCCTATTGATCCCTTTAAGGAGCCTTTTAAAAGGACCCTAACCCCTAAATAGCCCGGAGGCAGCCGTAACACCCTGTAGAGTCCTACCAAGCCGGAAGCTGCGAGGCTGCAGCGAATACAGCTGACCCTAAACCCTAAACCCTAAACCCTGAGGGTGAATGGGGATGAGGCAAACATGATGAGGGTTTAGGATTTCAAGTTTGGGTCGAGGGTTTAGGCTTTAAGGGTTGAGGNNGGCTTCAGGGTTTTAGGGTTTAGAGGGGGTAATACCAGAAATTTATTTTCAGCTGTGGAGCTTCATGTCCATCCGCTTCCAGCGCTTATGAATAGAAATGCCCTACGATGGGAACTAAGATCTAGGATCCCGGCGTCCCGTTTGTTGACACCCATGCCGAAGGCAATGGTCGCCACAATGATTGGGGTTTCACCACGCCTTGGGTGTGCCAATGCCAGGGGTTTCAGATGGGTGAGGCTTCTTTGAGGCCACACGACCTGGGAGGTATAGGCTGTGCGGCGCATCGTCGGCCCTTTTGGGTGTAGAAAACTTATGTATGGTATAAGAGGTCGATGGGCCATGGCAGAAGCTGAAGCAAGAACTTTCGGGCACACAAACTCCCCTAGCCTTGAAACCTGCTGTAGCAGTAGCGATACTGGCGGTGGTACTGGTAATGGCAGTAGTAGTCGTTGTCATCGTAGTCATAGTCGTGGTGATAGTGGTAGTGGTAGTGGT